CACTTTTTTTTTTTTTCAAAAGGATGTTCTATAAAAATTGCCCAGAGTATTTTAAACAAAATGTATTTCATTTTATGCTCAGAGTTTTGACATTAGGTTTAAAATTAAACATATGAAACAAAAGAAGATAACTGGACAGATAGGTGGATGGCAGCGGAAATAAATCTGTGGCTTGTGTTCAGGCAGCAGCCTTTTGGGCAAGAAATGCCATTTCACAAGGGATCGCGGCGGCCAAAGCCGCGGTGTCGGAGCTGTCCTTGGGCTGTGGAGAAGGAGCCGTGTTGATGATGCTGTTAACTTGGGCCTTAATTAACAAGGGCAAAACACAGCTCTTGGTTGTTAGGTGTGCTCCTGCACAATGTGCTGCAAAAACAGCTGTGTTATGGGAACTGGAACCGACCATTTAGGGAGGGAGTGTATCCAAAGGTGCTGTCCCTGCAGATGGGCTGTGGCTGCAGACACAAACCAGGCTGTGGGAAACACCTTCGTGGTCCTGATGAGCTTCCCCATGGGCAAACCCCAGGGGAGAGCTGGCCTGTGGGGGGGACTGGCCAGATGGGCTGGGGGGGAGGCATAAGAGGGCAAGAACCTACAGCCTGGCCTCACCTCTGTCACTATTACACAGCAGGCTGGGGCACCCTCCGTCCCCACACGCCCAGCTGGGAGCATTTTGGGAGACCTGGAGCCACCAGGAGGGGGATGGAGGTGGATGGAGTTGTTAGAACAACCTGTGTTTGGCACCGACACCTCCCTCCGCAGGGCAGCCTTCCCCGGTGCCCCCTGTGCTAATAGATGCTTTTGTCTGAAATCACTCAAAACCCAGCGATTTTGGGTTCAGGACTCCCAAGTAGTTTATTTAGTCGAGCTTTAAGAGTCCAACCCTTGTGGTTAATTTTGGGGATGTGGATGGGGATGTATCTTTGTGTCTCAGTTATGCTGTCCAGGCCATACGGTTAGATGCATGCCAGAAATTAGAATAACCATATTCTATATGGTTATTTATAAATATATATATTTATATACTATGTAGGGGTGTATCTTCGTGTCTTGGTTATGCTGTCCAGGCCATACGGTTAGAAGCATGCCAGAAATTAGAATAACCATATCTATATGGCTATTTATACATATATATTTATATAGTATATATATTATATAGCCTTATGATAACAGTAGAGCATCCCTGCGAGCCCCTGATGGGCTCAGCACGACCAGCAGCTGCCCAAAGTGTATACTATATAACCTTATAACAGTAGAGCATCCCTGCGAGCCCCCGGTGGGCTCAGCACGACCAGCAGCTGCCCAAAGCAGTGGGTGCCCACATGGCTTCACACTTGGCTCTGGTTTATCCCAAGTGGGGAGCTGGTAGGAAACCTGTGCCTGTAGTAAAAGCTGAATGCTAATTATTGTTGTTATTATTTGAATGTGCTTTGAATTCAGGCAAAATTCAGAGAGAATCAAAGAGCCTCTTCACAAGTTCGTGTTGTGAAAAAAAAATTCTGTCAAAGTCTACAGTGTAAATAATACTATTAAATTACATCATTTTACTAAATTACATCATTTTACTATATAATTAATAGAAAGTGTTTTCAAACACTTTCTGGAAAATGCTGCGTTTCTGAGACCAAAGGCTGATGAAATCAGCAGCTAATTATCACTGGCTCTGGTGGACTCTGGTCAGCGCGTTGGCGCTGCCCTTCCCCTCCCCGGCAATTTTTGGGAAAACAAGATGAAGTCAGAAGTGGGAAGCTCAGTGAAGTAACTGCAGAGACTGGAGGGAGAGGGGTTAGAGGGGCAGCGGCTGGAGGAGCAGAATTATTTCCAAAGAATCCCAAAGAGTGACGTGCTAAGTCTCCCCCCTGTTTGCTGAGATCCATCACTCCTGTCTCCCTGTGCCCCGCGGAATCTGTTAGTAGCACAATTGCAATATTTATAAATTCCTTAGATCTTTGGAAAATACTTTCATTGACTATTTAGTGTCAAGAACTGTGCATATAAACCAAAGAATAGTAGGTAGTGGCAGCCAAAAAAGTACAGTAGCTCTTAATTTAATGCCCGCTTGTAATTACACACAGGTATAGCCTTTTCTTAAGCCTGATGCTGTTTTCTCAGCTCCTCGCAACAGGTTCTGGTGAGACACATGAGCTTACCTGAGAGAAGGTTCTGTGATCTTGTATATGTTGAATGCTGAATCTTCATAATTAAGCCGGTATTTGTTTGTATTCTGCAAGATTTAAATGAAATGCAGTAAGTGAAAGGATCATGTTTCCACTTGGAAAACCTTCCAACAAAATCTGGAGTCGGTGTCTCGGTGTGCTCGGAACGCTGGCAGACAGTGTATTAAATCCGAGCACAAATCCTCTATTTAATATTGTGTGTGTGTCTCCCCGTCCGCAGGAGAAGCACAGCTGATACTCATTTACTTTTTGGCACATTCTCTTCGGAGATTTACAGGAGAGTAGCTCTGATTTGACGCAGAGACACTTACTGGTTTCACTCTGGTCTGCATCTTACCTTCAGAAGAAGTCACGTGCAGGGAGCCAGATTCACTAACTGGCCTTTACATCTGCCCACGTTCCAGGAGTCGCTGAGTTTGGGGCAGGCACCCTCCTGCACAAACCTACACACACACACACACCCCCACACCCCCACACACCCACACACACCCCCCTCAGGAGCCCACCTCCATCCACCCGAGCTCAACCTCACCCGAGTTACACTTAAACCTCTACAATATTTAAACATTCTCTGCCCTGTTTACAGGATTTGGGCTGTTAACACACAGCCTCCCACAGCTGTGGGGCCGGGTGAGCCAAGGGCAGCCCCTGCCATCTTCGTCTGCCAAGGAAATGGATTTTAAAAAGTTTTTAGCGGGGGTTTTGAAGTCCTGTCTCTCTCTGAAATCCTACCTGCCGACCCTCCGGTTCGCTCCCCGGCTCGATGGACGAAGCCTCCTCCCTGCAGCGGGGCTGCCCCTCGCCAGCTCTGGGGACAGGGACACACAAAACAGTCAACTCACAGCCCGGCCCGTGGGACCGCGGTGTGACAGCACCGAATCCTCCCTCCCCCCAAACCCCTGCCCTCTCTCGCAGCAGGACAGTGTCTGCAGCCCGTCTCTGTCCTAAAGCTGTCTTCAGCCCCGACAAACGAGGGACCTGTAAACCTTCTCTTAAAATATATTTTGCAAACCCACTCCCTGACCACCCTTTTAATCTCCCCGGGTTCATTTTTCTTCCCACACACTGGGGTGCTTTTTGATCTTTCAGTTCTACAACTTTCTGACCGTGTGAGGTGTGTAGATCCCAGGGGAGAAGCCAGTGGGATGGGGCAGATGGGACTTTCTGCAAGTATCTCCCCATATCCCCGGGCCAGGCAGAGTTCCTGGTCCCCAGCAGCCGGGGCAGCAAGACCAAAGCTTCAGTTCCCAGCAGAAGCCCAAGCCATGGACCGAAGGGCGGGGGGTAACAGCCTGCTCAAAGGAGGGTCCCCGTGGGTGAAAAGCAGATGATGCTGCCGTGGTTTGCTCTGCACTGCGGTACCCCCTGGTGCAGATGTCCTTTTGAGATCAGTCACCCTCAATCAAGGCTCCAGACTGATGTTTCTGGAAGAAAGCAAAGCCAACGTTCAGTCAAAAAGTAATGGTGCACTAAAAAAACGCGCCGTGGCTTCAGGTGGGTCCGTGTGCGAGGGCAGGGGGCTGGAGCCCAGACATTCAACGTGGTCACCTTGGATCTTGAAAGCTAAGATTGAAATACTACTGCAGTCGATCTAACTGCTGAGGTGCTTCACAGGGCCAGTAAGACAAACCAAAAAAGCAAATTCTTTCTATAACACAAACCTGTGACAGCTATGAGTTGACTCTGAAGTTGGGTGTGTTGCTTGGACGCTGCTCTAGGGCGAGTGAATGTTCTTGAAGAGCTTCGTCCCTGTTGTTGGGTGGCAGCGCTGGCCGTGAGGGTGCTGGTGGCACTGAGGTCATTGGGGTTAGGGGACCCTCAGGTCCACCTCCCCGGGCCCACATGCTGGAGTGGTGGAAGCAGTTCCTCAGGTGAGATGTGGAGAAGAGAGCAGGCTGCTCCCCTGGGTGGCATTTATCAGTGGAGGGAAACACAGGAGCTGTTTCTCCTGGGCTCGGGGTGGGTCTGGCACTGCAGCTCTGCCCAGGGTGGCTCTGGATCCAATCCCACCCGACGCTGGGGAACGTTGGTGTGTCCTGCTCTGCTGGGAAACTGTCCTTCAACACGCTCTGCCATGTGAACATGGCCCCGTCGCGCTGCCAGGATCAGTATATCCCAGGGTAATGTGCTGTGTGACAGCCTCAGAAATTAAAGTTGCCTCTGGCTTCCCTAAATTCGTGCATCTAAATTGTACCAACTTTTCTTTAGAAGGAGAAAAAAGAAAATATATATTTGGGCAGTACAAATTAACCTCATTCTTGGCCTTATTGTCCACGTCTTGGCTCCGCACCCCGGCCCTGCCACGCTGGGCTAAAGCGGCGTCTCCTTCCAGCAGGGGAAATCACGGCTGAGGTTTTCCTGGGGATGGGGTGGAAGTGTCACTCCGGCTCCCAACACATCCTCATCTGCCAGGGAAGAGCTGAGACGTGGTTTTGGCCCCTTTCTGTCGGACTGCTCCTGCTACTAATGAATAATGGACACTTTCTTATTGCAGCTTAAACCCGGTGTTGCTTTCTGTGAGCAGTAAGAGATGGCATTGATATCACTGCAGTCCAGTATTTTACTGGGTAATGTACTGAGCTGCTCTGCAGAGTGCTTATTTGTTTGATTAATTTTTGTTTTCTACAGAGGTTTGCTGAGAGCGAGACTTTAATCACAGTGTAGTCATTTAAGAATAAGTTATAGAATTATAGCTGAATAATATTCATTCAACGAGGACTCGAAAGACTAAATCCATCATTGAGATCCGCTGCTCCTCAATGCTTTTATCACTAAAATTTGCTAAATATTAATCAGATTTTTATTTTTTTTCCCCCCACGTTGCAGGTGCTCGAAAGATTATTTCAGAAGGGATTTAACGTGGCAGCTTCATGTGGCGGGGGGGGGGGTTTCTCCCCGTTCAGCGAGTACGTGCTGTGCCGCGAAGACAGACGACCACAGCCCACCCCAACGATCAGAATAAAACAGGAGCCCCTGGACTAGACCCCCCCGTCCTCCTTTGTAACCGTAGAAGTGTTTAATAGTCCCTTATGTGAAACACTAAGGATTTGCAAAACAGTATTAGCAAACAGATTTTTTGACTTTATGTTGCCAATTAGTGGTATTCTGAAACTACCTGTCACGTCGCCAGCCATGAAATGCATTTGGAAAACCTGTTGTCCGTTTTTCACGATGAAATCCCCGAGGGTGCTCAGGGCCCTGGCCCTGCTGGGAACGTCCTTGGGCTGAGCCGCCGCCGCCGTGGCCCCAAGGGCAAAGCTTGGGAAGCCCCCCTGTCCCCAGATGGGGCTCTGCAGAAAGCCCAGGGGAAGCAGTTGGAGGAAGGGCTCTGCCGGCCGATCCAGCGGCGCTTCCCTGAGGAAGATGGAACACTGCAAACTGCACTGAGCTCTGCCCCGCGCTGCTCCTCCTCCTCCATATCAGACGTGCTTTACGCCTCCCCACACGACCTTACGCCTCCGTGATTGTACTCACTCCTGCCAGCAAACGGCTTATTTTTATACAACATTTCCACCTGAGGTGTCTCTCTGTGGACAGGATCCAGAACCAGAAAAGGACCGATTTATAGTCAACTGGTGCTCAGTACTAAAAATACCCCCACACAAACCCAACAAAAAAGGGACAAAACATTAGACAAGGCCGATGACGGCAATCTTTGCAACAGTAGGGATCTGGAAGCACAAAAGGAAAGGCCACCCCCCATCACACGGGGGTCACACCCCCACTGTGGAGCTGGAGCTCCCTTAAAGCCAGCCTTGTTCTGAGGTGGGAACTGCCAAGTTCTCCATCCTGGAGGAAGCGCGGTTCTGCCGCCCCATCACCCACTCACCCGCTGTGGTACCAGCCCACGTGTAGGAGGAAACGCTGAGAATTTGGGGCAAACCTACTCTTTATGGGTCTGGGATTTTTGCAAAAAGATGTTCTAGCCCTCTAGTGCCACTGTCTGATGAAAGCAGGCCACCTTCTGTTTAGATTGTTTTCTCCTCTCTTATTTTAAATCTTATTATTAAACTACGGATTCTGTAGCTGCCCTCTATCTGTGTAATTCTTCTCTTCACCGAAGCCGCTGTCGGGGGGTGGCTGCTGCTCAGCATCCTCCGACTGGCAGGGCTTCTAACTCAGGAGACAGCACCGCCTGTGCAGGTGCAGGGTGATAAATAGCGTTCTGCTAAACCCTCTCTATTGCTCTTCAGCATGATTGGGTCCTCAGTAACGAATTCACGTGCTCATCGCAATTTAGTTCCTCCCACGTTAATTTATAGAACACTGTTGTAGATGCTGAATTTTAATTAAGCTCTTTTTAGATGCGCAAATACGGCCATATAGAACAAGGAACAGAGTCGAAAGCGGTCAGCAGTTCTTAAAGGCTCAACGATTACAATCAGGCAAAATAGAAAAAAAAAAAATAATCAAGTTTGAGACTAGTGTTTTCCAAAGGGCTGGGCTGATTGTCCAAGGCCCGGCCTCGGCAGGGGTCTGATTTTTGGAAAAGGGCTGGATACCCGTCTGTGGAAAATCAGGCCTCTGCGGGATCTCCCCCCTCGGTTCCTCGGCTGGGAAGCCCCCTCTGGAAGCCGTAGCTCTGGCCCTGCTCCCTTGGCAGAACACTTGAGCAAATCTGTCTACTTTAAAAGAGTTGTAAAGTTATTTTATTTTGTGGTTTTATACTTGTACGACATTCTAAAGTTGCTAGGCATTGCCATATTTGAATATATGGCACAACATTCACCTTTGTATGTAAGATATCTGTAGAATTGTATATTATACATTTAATATTGTAAAGAACTTAACGTATAATTGTCATGTATTTGTGTATGCACATTTCTTATACAGTACTTCATGCCATAAACATTTCTGTAAAGTAAATGATCAAAAATAAGCAAGTAGGGTGGAACACTCACTGTATCTCCCGTGGTGTTTGAAAGAGGTGAGAGCTTCTGATTGCGTCTCCTCCGGCCTTTTGCTCCCTTCAGCTTGATGTAGCCGTGTCTGACAAAACGAAGAAGAAAAAAAAAAAGTGTTTTATTTATTACTTTCATACATTGAGTTCACTTTTAAGCTCCAAGTATCCTTCAACAACCCCTTTAGCTTTGTGTTTTCATCCTGTATTCCCTTGTCCTGCCCCCCCGGCGCTGGCAGCGGCTTTGTGGGCGCATCCTCCCCTCTCTGGGGGGGTTGAGGCGAGTGAACCCCCCAATTCTCAGTGCCCAGGGACCCCCAGCTCCGCAGCCCGGCCTCCCAGTGGGACCAGTGCCCGAGCTCCCCCAGCCCGGCCGCGGGACGATGCTCCTGGCTGCAAGTGCCCACCCCCAGCAGCACTGGGGCTCGGTTGCTTTGGTTTCCTTCCCTTTGGCGTTTACCATATTTATTTTTTCCACTCCGGTCGGCGGGGCTGGCGGCCCAGGGGGCACGGGGAGGGGTCCCAGGAAGGGGTCCTGGGCCACCCCAGCCCCATTCAGTGTGAGCTGGAGATGGAAGGTCTGAGCCGTGACATCACAGCACCGACTGCGAAACAGCGCCGAGGCAGCGGAGGACATGTGGAAACAATCACTGGGTTAGAAGAAAAACGCCTTGGAAAGCAAAAAAAAAAAAAAGTTAGGACACGTTCTTTTAGTTAGTAACTTCAGGTCACTTATTTAAAGTTTATTACAGTTTCATTTATATCTTTTTTACTTATTTCCCTATATTTTTAGGCAGCAATACCAGCAAAAAACTGATTTGAATTTTTACTTCTGGCCTTAAACCATAGCAACGTAACTTAATTAAGAACATTGCTCAGCATCGCTAAAACAGGTTTTGAGATCTCCCAGAACTCCCGGGGAGCCGTGGTGCGCGGCCAGCGCCTGCTTTACTGGGAACTCCAGAAAAAAAATACCCGTAGCCTGGTTTTCCGCCTCATTCGCTTGAACAGAGTTGTCCCGATTCCCTTGTTGAGCACCCAAAACGGGGCTGGAAGAACAGGAGTCGTCGCCGGCGCTTTCTGCCCGTCCCCGTCCCGTTCCCGAGGCCGGGAATGTCGCGTCGTGCTCCTCGGACTGATCCCGTCCCTGAAAGCAGCCGCTGAGTCCATCCATCCGCCGCGTCAACGGCATCGGGGTCTGATGACAACTTTATTAGATGTTGGACAAAGGATAAGAATCAGCACAACAAAACATGGAAGTATTTGGTTTTAATATTTCTTTGTGGGTATTCTGTTAATATTTTAATGCAAAATGTTTCTGAAGAGTGCTTAAGAACTACAAGACAATGTGAAATTCATGTTTGATAAATTAATACTGTATGTCACTCGATGTGTTACTTTAGTAAATTGTTTTATTTCTTTACAAAATAAGTACAAATAAGGGAGTATGTTTTCACACAAATTGGGGGTATTTACGAGTATGTACAGAAATCATCAAAATAACGTAATTCTAATAAACACAAGGCCTTTATAAACAATATGTACAAATTATCAATACATTTAAAACATAATTTTACACTTCCTGGCCTTAAATACCTTATGAATAATCTTTTGGCTAAATAGCAGCAGTATAAATTTTCTTCTGCTTTTCATAAACCTTAAAAAATAATTAAAACTTTTGTTTTTAAAACTATTGGACAAATAGTTCTATTTGTGCTTTCGCTATGGTTTCCCATCAAAAAAAAAAAAAAAAAAAAAACCCAAACAAAAAACCCAAACAAATATTGCCTCAAAAAAGTGGCAAAGCGTAACGGAGTACGAACGGAACAGATAAATAAGCAAAGGTCTCCCTTTGGCGGCGACCGATAATACTGTTACGTGTGAAGAGCAACAGCTCGTGCCCACCCCCGACCCGGCGGCCGTGGGGGCCCCTCAGCACCCCCTCAGCAAAGCATTTAAGAAGCATCCACCCACCTTTAAGTCCTTAAAACTACTCATTGCGCCTCAAGTCCTGCGCTGGCTCGTGAGCCCCTCGGACCGGGGTCCAATCGTCCTTGGCCAAGGCACGGCCGGTCCCTGCGGCCCCCCCGATGCGTTGGGGATGGGACTGGCCCCCAAAAGACTTCCTTCACGGTGACTTTAAAAATCCATATAGAATACTCTAAAATCTTCACTGAACAATACTCTCTTTTAAAACCACCATTAAACCATACTCTTTGCAATAAATAAATTAAGATATTTTTTTTAGAAAATAAAACCCAACTTTGATCCGTGTTACTCACCAGTTGCTACAAATGTGCAAAAGGTTGAAGAGCTCTAGAAAACAACTGGAAGCGACTCAGGGTAACTCCGCCGGGACCCAAGGGCACAGATTTCATACACTTAGGATTCGGATCCGCAAACGGCTCAGGGGAATGAGCTGTGCAGTAAAGAGCAAAAATCCCAAATATATAAAATTTGTGAGAGTGCGCAGTGGCTACTAACTGTGCAAAAAATTGCAATTAGAACTAATCTAAAATAAGGACAGGCATCGCCATGGTTGGTCGGTGGAAACGGCGCTGGGAAAACTGCAGAGGGAAAGAAACCCAGCACCAGGAGTGACCGCGGAGGGGACACCAGGGCTGGGTCTGGCACGGGCACAGAGGGGCCATCACCACTGCCTCTGCCCAACGCCCGCCCCAGCCCCAGCCCAGCAGGGATTTGGGGATTTCGGAGCAGGGATTTCCTCTTCCTTCTGCCTGGGGGGGGGAGTTAACGGTTCAAAACCTTTTGCACATTTTTTTTTTTGTGTGTGTGTGATTTTTTTTTTTTTTATAATTTTTTTTTTTTTTTTTTTTTTTTTTACATAAAGGGCATTTATTGCGTGTGTCTGACAATTTTACAAAACAAAATTACTGGAACGTTGACTTCTGAAAAAAATAGAAGGCACATTAAAATGACAGCTTTTCGATGCGGGTTGAGCTTCCGTATGGAGAGAGATCAGTCCGGCTCCTGGCTTCACTTGAGCAGAGCGCGGTAGAGCAGGAGCGAATGGCTCGTCTCTCGCTCCTGCTCCATGTAGAAGATGAAGTCCCTGAGGTTGACGCGCGTTATCTTCTGCCGTGCGTACTGCCGGGAGGAGGGCGTCCCCGCGCCGCCCGCGCCGCCGCCGCACACGCCCAGGCCCTGCCGAGGAAACAGCCGGGTCAGAGTACCTGCTGGACTGCTTTAAGCATCTTAAGTGGATTATCGTGAGCCTCATTCTGAAAGTTTTACATGAGATTATTATTTTTTATTTTTTTTTCCTATTATTCTGAGTCTCACCCCCTTTACCTGAGTGAGGAAACTCCAGTGAAACCACCCGCGAGGTCAGATCTCGCTCATTTATAACAAATAGCTCTGACTAATTCTCCTGCTCCCAGCATTTTAACCATAGACATATTTGGCCAGTTTCATTTCAGGAGGTTTTAAGGACAAAACTATCAGCCGTTTCCAGGGTATCAAAGGCAGCATCCCACCCCACGGCCGGGTACTGCCGCGCATCAGGACGTCGCTGCTGGGGACCCCGACTGTCCCCTCTGGGTCTGCCCCGGGACCAGGCTCAGTGGGGGAGACACCAAAGGGTCCCACAGACGCTTCCCAAATATTAACAGAGCGACCCAGCAGCGAGGTGGGACATTAAATAGAAAAATCACAACCACTCAGGCCTTGTGCCACAATAAAGACAAACATTAGCACACTATTTTCTAAAGCTACGTTAAATCTTTTGTTTATATTGGTTCAAAGCTGCTCAGTCACCGAAAACCTCATCCTGGCTTTCTCTCCAGAGAGGAAATTCCCAGACCGGGCCCGAGAGCACCAGGATCTGCATGTTTAGAAATGGAAAGGATGCAATTACAGGCTCTCAAGTCTTGTTGAGTTTAAGACTGGAGCCTGACACACCCACACAATCAACCCTTTACCCCTGTTTTTATTAATTCCAATTGATTTCTGGCAAAATAAACTGCTCTAACTTAGAAAAATAGGTTTCAATCTCTAAAAAGACTTAAATTATTTATCAAACCTCTACGGCATCCGGCAAAGTTTTCAATACTTTGAGAACCCCAGCGTTACTCCCCGCTCTCTGTCACACACCTTTCTTTCCCCAGGAAATGCTGACTCTCGGATCTTGACTCCAGCCGTTAAAAATACAGTTGTCATTTAACTCCTGCGAGATTGCAGGGGACAGGCAGGGACACACAGGTTGCAGACTGGGGGTGAGACACAGCACCGTGTTGCCTTCCCTCTGTGCAGCAGCAGCCCCAGAACCGCACCGTTCCGGGTGTTTCTCCTCTCTCTGACATTAAATCACTGCATTTGGGGCAAACCCAACGCTCCCGTAACCACAACCACAAGAGGCTCAGTGCAGCAAAAAGGCTGTGGCCAACGCAGCAGGGGAGGGAGAAGCCACAACCTCCCAGCACCACCAGCACGAGATCCAAGGGGTTCTGCTCTCCAGGATGGAGCAGGCTCATTAAGAGATTAATTGATTTCCCACTCGCCCTCCCACATACATATATCCCAAATATTAACAGAAAAGCTACCTAATTTTTAAAATTTTTCTTCATATAAAACCATTTCTTAGAATCATAGAATCATTCAGGTTGGAAGAGACCCTTGGGATCATCGAGTCCAACCATCTACCCTACTCTACAAAGTTCTCCCCTAGAGAACTTCTTGAACCACCTGAGGTACCTTTACAGCAAATAACTGCTTTCTGTTCGCGCAGAGGAGCTGGGACTGGGTCGGGGGAGGTCACAGCCACCACCTCTCACTGGGCACACCCACCCTGGACGAGGGAAGAGCAAACACCCCAAAGCTCCTCCTGACTGTACACCCAGCACCACACACCCACAGCCCCGCTCCTGAGCCCATCACTCACCTGGGAACATTCTGCACTGGTGTTACCAGGTGGAAAAAATAATTAAAAATTCTTTTAGGACGTAAAGAAGCCCATCTGTAAACTGATGGGACAGTAATTTATATCCGTCAATATGATCTCTAATTTCAATTAAAGACCAATTTGTTTGGTGCTGCATCGTACTCAAAATTATCCTGCAGATGCCATATAAAAACGGGGAGCACTAAATGCCACAATTTTTTAATTATATACATGAATTCAAGCATAGTTAAAATTAATTGCCAAGAATAGTGGAATTGAAGTAATGCAGATTTTTCTCAAGAAAAATCACATTTTTTATCAGCATGACAGACTTTTCATTATCCCAAACAAGCCCTGTGTTGTCTGCGACTATGGCAACTAATAACAGTTACAAAGATAAAAGCTCTAATAAAAAAATAAATGGTTGTAAATTGTTTACATCCTTTATTTCCTGGCCCATCACACCTGAGCTATTACCAAATCCCACCCACCCAAACAGACACCAGTACAGGTTTTGTATCGATGAGCTTCTCTTCATAATTTAAGAGAAACTTAAGATGTTCCAGACCAGAAAAAAAAAAAAAAAATTAAGTAATGTATGAATTCCTTCTGCTTCTTCATTTTGAGATTCCTGACGTTACATGAGTTATAGCAACTCCTTGTCCCCTTCCATCCTGTCCTCTCCTTTTCCCCACTGCTGCTTCCTGGGAACTTGGCAGCTCAAATCCCACGGGACAGCGAGGGAGGGAGCAGAGAGCAAACCATTTTCTGCTCCACTGGTCCCTGGTGGGGCCATGGCGAGGTGGGCTCTGGAGAGGTGGGCTCTGGAGGGGCTCCCCAGAGATCCCAACACAAGTCCCACCCCCAGCCAGGACTGAAAAGAACATAAATTCATGGAAAATCAAATGCAGCAATTTGGGAAAAGGCCATGGAACCACGGTCTCTGCCAACCCACAATAAACCCAGCTCCTCTGCAGAGGGCTCATCACCTCTTGCCCCCTCCACGAGTCTTCCCAGTCCACAGAACAAGACCCCACCAACACCCAAGCCCACCCTTCACTGTGGAGCTCCTTCCCACCTCCATCCCCCAGCACCAGATTCCATCCCTGTTTCCTCAAAGGGCTAAATGCTGCTGGGAAAGGGCTGAGACAGACACTCCTCCTCCCGGATTCTCATGGGCAAACTCCCCTCCTGCTCCAGCAGTGAAAATGTCTCCCTGCACTAAATTACAACAATTACCCCAGCAGGTGTATGAAAATTAACTCAAGTAACTCTCCAAAGTGCGCTGTTCCTTGCTCGAGATAGAAGTGCTTTCGCTTAAAAAAAGAACACATAATAGAAAAATCTACCCTCATTTCTATAACAGTGATTCCTACTCTTGAACAATTAAATCTTTTTCTTTTTTTTTTTTTCTCCCACCAATCTGTGTTCCTTCAGCTTTGAATTACAGAACCATGGAAATCTAGCACAATATTCTCATCAGGAAACACGAAGATGAGGGCAAACAGAAGACTGCATTTAATATTTTATCCATCCTGCCTTCCCCAGAAAACAATTCAGCGCCGACACCTCTCCTTTGAACATGGTCCTGAGCCGAGCTGTTGCCTCTCCATGACCCAGAGACAAGGCAATAATGACACAAGACGTGGGGGTTTTTCTTCCCGGGCTCTGTGGCACAACCTGGTGGCAAACTCCTCCTGGAGCCGGGCTCTGGAAGCGGGGATCCTGCAGCAGCTGCTCCAACCACCCGGAATTCCGTCTCCCCAGCCCCCCCGCAGCGCGGAGAGTGGGAGGAGAAGGTACACATTAGTCTGCTCTTAGGAATAAGAGGTCTCGGATCAGAAGAAATATTCTGGAGATATTCGGCAGCAACGATGTTTACTTGCATAAAACGCTATTAGATCTCTGGCTGAGAGGCACTTTGTACATGAAAAACAGGTATAATATTATGTATGATTAGCCGTTCCACGTAATTTAGGGTTTAATCCAGCACCTACTGAGGCTAACAGTAATGATTGCACTGATTTAAATGAGAGCCGAAACATCCTCAAACCAGTATTCCCCCGAAGAACAGAAAAGTAAGTAATAACTGTTTGTCAGCACCTCAAAGATTAACCATCCTGCAGAAAATATAATTATATCTGCAAAAAGACTGCAACGCCTTCGAAGGCGCAGCACGGGGGCTTCGCCAGCATCTCCAGAAAGGTCCATCACCAAGATGTCACTGAGGCCTCCAGCCCCGCGCCCTTCGCAGGGAGGATCCCACACCATTATTTCTTTGGAAAGTGGTTCTTTTCATTTGCCGACGTTTCTATCCCATGCGCTTTCAGCGACTGCTCCCGCAGGCTCCCTGTTGGCAGCCGTCCCCTCCCTACCCCTCCTGCATCCAAAGGCACCCCCGTCCCCCCGGGCGGGTAAACACACCCCTGGCCCCGCAGCCAAACACCAGGAAACCTGATTTGCACAAGTATTTACAAGTACTTCAAATACCAACACAATTGCAACATTTCAAAGACGGCACGCAGTAATTTTTATATTAAGAAATAATAAGAGGAAGGTAAATCATACCGAGACGGAGATACAGCAAAATTTTTTTCCTTTAGATGTGATCACTTCAGTTTATAATTACGTGATGTTATTTCAACCCAAAGCAACGGGCTGCCACGGAAAGAGGGGTGTTTTATGGGTACCTGCGCTTTGCCTTTGTTCTGTTACACTCAGTCACACTGGAAACCACTAGTGCAAAGGAAACCTGCTCTGCACAACGGCCTCGCACCAAAAACTCTCAGCTGAGAGAACTTGGCCATTGTCACCACCCTGGCCACCCACCAGTCCTCTGAGAGAGCATCCCCCAGACCCAGAGCTGGGGCAAAACGCAGGTTACACAGCGTTTGGGAGAGAAACCCCTGGGGATGGAGAAGGCTGCCCTGAGGGAAATCCATCCCATGGATGAAGTTGCCCCAATGGAAACCCATTCCATCCCGTGGATGAAGTTCCCCTGATGGAAGCCCATCCTGCAGATGAAGTGTGAGGCAGCCACAGGCCATGACATTGACCTGCCCAAGGGAGCTGGATGTTCAGCTGCCCAGTCCTTAACTGGGTATTCTCAGGAAGAAACCCAACTGCAACTAATTTTGACTTCTTAATCATTTTATCCCTGCAGATCTCTGACTAATCACTGCATTCATGTGAGAAAGAAAAACTCCAGTTTTTGCTCCAGAGAGGTTCAACTCTGCCTCCTGCAAAGACTTTTAACCCGTTAAAG